CTTCTGATAAGATAAAACAGATCAATCTATAGAAATATGACCAACGTATAAATAATATGAATCATCTGAAATTATCTCTTTGAATTTTTGAAATGAAGCATTGTCATTAATTTTGATTAGGTTTTCTTTTTAGCTCAAAAACTTTTTCATAAGTAGTAAAAAGCAATAATAATACTAATACTATCACTACCATCAATCTTCTTCCATATCTACAGTTGTCATACATTTTATAAATAATCAAAGTAGCTTACCTCACACGAAAGTCCATCATAACCTGTTGGGCAGTCACATTCCTCAACCAACACTGTACGGTCTCCTCTACCTTGTGGGGTGCCACTATTCATAACAATTCCATTGATACTATAGGAAAAAAAATAAACAGAAGATTTAAAATGATAGAATAGAATATAGAAATGTTTGTATTGTTTTCAATAACAGAAATATAGATAAAAGTCAATGTAAAAACAGAATATATGAACAAAGAAAGTGGCCAAAACTCATTGGCCATCTTAGAAAATACTGTGCCGAATTAAAAACTCAATTTTTTTTTAATGTAATATATTTTAATGAGTACAGATTATGAATATTTGACAAAAAAAAAATAAATAAATGAAATGTGAGTAATGAAATTTTATATATTTTATTGAATAATGTCAACTTTCATTGTAATCAGATTGCCAATTTTACGAAAAGAAAACTCCATTTGTTGATACTGAAAAGTTCTTGTCCTGATCCACTTTCCAAAATATATTTTAATGACCAAACATCAGAATACTGATTTTGGGAAATGGATTTGATTGAGAACCTTTCAGCATCCACTTGTAAAGACTAATTTGGAATGCCTGCAATAAAATATAATTAAAGATTGACTTTCAGTATTGTAACAAGTTACAACCAACAAATAATTTTAAGTGTCTATCAATTTTCTAGCCACTAATTCTAAATAGTTGAGCTAAAGGCATTATAGGTTTCATTAGGTATATGTGCTTCTCATACGAATTCATTTAATATACTCAGACCATGTGAAAAATTACTGAAAATTTAAACTTTTTATTACGGTTTAAAGTTGAAGCTTAATCAATGTTTAAAATACAAAGCAATTTTTTTTAGAATTTTGTAACTTGTATAGTTTATATGACATGTTTGGTGGAGAAGGGTGTATTTAACAAAAAAAAAAAAAAAAAATCGAAAATTGCTTTTTTTCACTGCAAATTATTCATTATATTATACCCAAGTATTTTACAAAAAATTAGAGCCAATTACACAATATTTCAAGCTCAATTTAGGTTTATAGTTAATAACCATGCAATGAGATGAGGTAACATAAACTAGATTTGTCTACAGAATATCATTACTGTTATTGTTACATAATTACAGTGAAATCATGAAGGTCTTTTTATCAAAAGCAATTTATTTTTGGTTGTATATTAATTTAAAATATTCCTTTTTACAGGCTTTATTTTTGAAATGAAATAAGATCCTTCTAAATTTCAGAATCAAAATGACTGGAAGAAAGCGATCTAAAAACAACAATGTAAGAGAGAGGTAACAAAGTATAATTGAAATAGCTCCAGTTTGTTCAACTTAGGAAACTTAGCATTGCAGCCAAAGTATTCTAAAATGCTGCAAATAAATGCGAATAAATAAAATTGAATACAGTACCAAAATTTATATAATTTTTATTGATTTGTTATGTAACTAAGTACATAATTGTCAACAATGTTTCTGTAAAACTTGGTACTTCCTGTAAGAAATTCTTAATAAATATTATTATTGTTATTATTTTACCTGAGTGTAAGGTAATCCTACATTTACAATTCCTTACAGCTGACCATGAAAAGAAATGTTGATCAAAACTGCCTAAAACCTTTAAGTGCATTGCCACAAAATTATCGAATATTGAATACGCCCCCCCCTCTGCCAAATGAATCATATAGTTTGTTACATTTTTAAAAAAATTGGTTCCTTTAATTTTCCTCCTTTAAGAAAAGCTAAAGCTTAATGATGTCAGTATATTTTTATTTCAAATGCAATATAAACTTTAAAATTGATCAGTATTATATATAAATATCAAAAAAGAAAAAGTAGACATAATAAATACAGAATTGAATACAATAATCATATATCTTATTTTCTATTAGACATGAAAATGTCACAATGATATTCAAAAAGAAATCTATGAAAACTTACCGAATATCTGTCTGGCTAGAATCAATTGTTGCTTTGATCATGATGCTAGTGACATTGGACAGTACCTCCATCAAGTCATCACGAGTAGCTGCTTCCACTGCAGGAGTATCAGAACGAATCCTATCCCTAGGATCAGATGATCCTTTCTGCCAGACTTGCTGTAAAAAAATTTAAATTATGAAATATATTAAAAAGAAAAGAAAAAAATACAAACATTAATCAATACTCTAAATTATCTTGTTTCTATTGCATTAGTTATAAAACACAATGATTTAATGATTATAAGTTTTGAGGGTTAAAAGTTATTGAACATATATTTGTAAAGAGCTAATGTTAAAAATCTTACATTGTTTATTTTGGATTTTGATGTATTTTTATTTTGTGTATTCATCTGAAAAGTTACATACATATGGATATTTTTAAGTTTAGCTTTGTATCGCACAAAGCCAAAATGGAGGAATGAGGAAGAGTGTGCTAGCCATGTAGATCATTTAATGACATGCAGTGTATAAATGCAAAGGCTTGTAAATATGTTAGCTGCTAGATATGTGTTGAGGGCTAATATACCACACCTGTTTTTAAAAATCAGAGATTTCTTCCTTTCACTTGAACTGTTAACAGAATTTCTTTACCTGATTGAGAATTAAAGTATAGATCTTATAGGTTATTATCCAACACTTTGATTATGATCCCTACTTGTAAGTGCAATAAGAGAATACAAGTATTACTTACCTCCCTCAATGAAACCTTAATAGTATGCTCACGATTTGGAGTTAATTTTCTGCTCACAGTATGGTAGAGTCTGATACCATTGCCCTAAATAAATGCAGAAATCAGAAATTTAAGTTTTGTTATAAAATTATCATAAAATAAGCTGACAACATTTTTCTGTCATGAATTTTGAAAAAAAAGTTCTAAGTATACTTTATACTACTTCATATGCTTGTCATTTAGTTGGCAAAGTGTTTATAGAACAAAAGCATTTATAAAGGGTGTTCCAATAACTTGAATTGATTTAATGTTATTGTATTGAATCCCAATACTCTGAATTTTGACATTCCAAGCTCTTATTGTTCAACTTTCCTGAAACAGACATTTTTTTAATGTTGAAAGCAGCTTCAATAACTGCAAATAAATGTATTTTTTAAATATTTCTACGTTCACAAACTCTTCATGAAACTAAATGTAAACAGTAAACACAAGGTTGACCCAATGGGTCACAGGTGATCTAGTTATAGTATATAGTTCATGATGTAATGAATATGCATACACCTGGGTTCCCCTCACAGTAATATGATTGGCTGGTGTCAGCCATAAATACAGACTGATGTGGAGGTACAGGGAGGACACCTATTGGTTATGCCTATAGTCTTCGCCTATTGCCTACCACTATGATGAGGACCAGTCCAGTATAGTTACCTGCTAGTTTGTCCTACTCGGTTACAGTAGTCCAAAATCACTTTGCTACTTTGAACAAATATATCTCTTTCCAGGACATATCAGTTCATTATTTACTTTATTGAACAGAAGCAGTGACATCAAAACAGTCTCTTTCTCTCTCTCTCTCTCTATATATATATATATATATATATATATATATATACAGAAAAGGATAAATTTACATACCGTTAGAATCACATCTGGTTCATCAACAAGAACGGGAACTCCAGCAATCTCATAAAATAACTTGTAATTGAGTTCCCCACCATAGCTGGTCAACTATAAGAAAATGAGAAAAATAATTAGGGAATGAAGTGAAAATAATGACCTACTGTTTCATTTTATATATATATATTTTTTTTTATTTCTCAGTATAAATTTTAGCACTGTTATTTTACAATGAGCACTTTTTTATTACCACCAATATACACACTGTACGCTATTATAATAAAAATTAACTTGCAGTTTGGCTGGTCATTTTGAAAATACTGCTATTGTGTAAGGATAAAGAAATTGCTTTGTTTCTATTATATATTCATAAAATAAGAATAAAGAATTAGCTATTGTTTGTGGAAAAATGTTAAGCACTTGAATGAAGACAAAAAGGAAAATAAAGATTACTTTTCTTGAGGGAACAAAAAAATTAAATAGATTAAAAATAAATAACAGTTCATAAACTTTACCCTGTTTCCAAGGAATTGGTATGGAAGACTGAAGTAATATACACCCGAAGGCAAAAACTGATAACTGGGTATTCTAAATTCTCTCTTGGCACCATCATATTTGATGTAATTTTCTTTCACATCAGGTAAAGTGTCTCCTCGCCTGCTCACCAGATCTATATGGCTGCCCATTGAAAGCTTCAAAAATTAATTAAAAAGATGGAAATTAGACTTCATATCTGTAAGTAAATTGCATGACTTTGGTTGATCATATAAAATAAAGAGACTTTTTCAATTTCTCAAAATTATTTTGTGGTAACAAGTTCAGCATGAGATAACATGGAATTAATATCAGTAATAAAATGGTTATTACAATAAGGTCACTAGTTTAAAATCAGTTTTCTTATGGGTTAGTTTGTAGTAACAAGCTTAACTAGTGATATATTTAGATTGATTGATTAGTTTTTTTATGGCTTATCAAACTTTTGCAGGTTATTTAAAGTCAGAAAATATTTTTGGATTGTAAGAAATATTTTTGGTGATAATAATGATTTACAGACAAATTTTACTAATTAACCCATAATTTGGGGGATAAGAGTTGGATTCGTACCTTTCCCCAAGGGTATTTGAGCCTAAGTGAATATAACAACTCTAATTTCCAATTTCTAATTCTGAATCATTATTTGTTACACCAAACGCACATCCAAGCTTACAGCAACTGGTATTCCCAAGTGGTCACCTATCTAGGTACTAACCAGGCTCAATGTTGCTTAACTTCGGTGAACATACAAGAACCAATGTTTCAACATGATATGGCAGTAAGCCTCTTATATTTAGAATGCTTAAAGTAAATTTCTAACCTCTAAACCTATAGTCCTTTCCTTAGTTTTTTCATTAACACCACCTAAGTAATTAGGATGAATTGTTAATGAGAGAAAGAAAACAAAAACAAATTTAAAAAATAAATCAGTAAAGATACTTCTAAGTATTATTTTATTGCATTAAATATTTACATTTTGGTTTGGTTTGTTTTACAGTATATCAAGCTCAATGGGTTATTTAATGCTGACAAAATTTGTATTGCTGGTAATATTTTTTTTTCAAAAATGTATTGCTGGTAATGTAATATGTAATAATTTTTTCTTCAAAAATTTATTGCAGGTAATTTTTTTACAAAAACATATTGCTGGTATTAAAATCTATATCTACACTTTCATAATGTTTTGATCCCAGTTAGGGAGAGGGTAGTTATTTGCCCATAGCGGGGACCCTGACAGGTGCTACCACCCTGGAACAGGGTAGACCTGAGAACAACAGTAACTAAGAGGTGGTTCCACACTCCTCAAAGCCTCCTGATCAGAGGCCTTGCTGTTGAATGTAGTTTATTGTCTTAACCAGGATGTTTCACATTTTGTCCTGGCTTTCTCTATTAGAACTATATCTTAGACAGCAGTGGAATTTCACTCAACTATTTCATCTATTGAAATGATGAAAAAAAAAAAAAAAAAACTTTCAGGATTAAAGATCACAATATGAGTCAATAACATGAATACAATAAGAAAATTTTAAAAAAATTTTGAATTTTGAAGCCCAATTGAAAAAGAGAAAAGATATATAAATATTTATGATGAAATTACAAAAAAAAAAAAATAAAGCCAAATGGAGATATAAAACTTACCCAAACTTTCTTAAGGTTGCTACTATCACATTGGATTGTTCGTTTGAAGCAAAAGCACTGAATGCACTCTTCTCGTGAAGCAGCAATGGCATTGAAAACTGGAGGAGGACAGTTACCACTTGGCCCTATAAAACCAATACAAAACAATACAGTGGATGCATAACAAACATTTTAACTTTTTATCATTACAAATTTTGATCATGTGATACTAAAAAACATGGAAATTGTATTACTTTCTAATAAAATTGATTTTTCTTTTTGTGAGGCAATGTCCATTAAAATAGCCAATTTGGAATTCAAGTCCAAAATCAAAATCTCTAAAATTTATATTATATTCAAAGGTGACTTTAATTAGTCATAATATTTATTCATAATGAGTAGATTATATACATACTAGTAGTATCTATAAAAATTTCACAGTTCCTGTATGAATTGCCACAATTGCTGTATTTTCAAACAATAAATCTCAAGTTCCTTATATGAATTTTGTTCTTTTCTTTCTTTTTCTCACTGAAATCAAGCTGAATCTCTATGTTTTTCTGTCTTTCCTTGTGATCAAAATGGAATAGTCTATTGTTTATGAGGCATTGGCAGAGTGTATCACACACACACACACAAGCTAAGTCAGGGGTGGGGCGCAAGCATTTTATATAAAAGCAATACTGACTTCACTAGGTAAAGACAGGTTTACAAACAGATATTTTTTCTTCAAGATTAATTCTAATAAGAAACATTGCTTTCTATCAAAAGTTTATAATCAACCAAATTGCAATTTAAATAGCATTTTTTAGCCATTGGGTTATAATCTACCACAGGTTAAAGTTGATCGAGTACATATATTTGATAGTGCATGTTGATTTATTCTGAGCATCAAGCTGGACACAATTTTTATCTTCCTAAGTACCTATTGAGTAGAAATGCACTATTAAAGATTTATAAGAGCCTAACTGCAGTACTCTCACCATGTGATTTCAGTTTTTGATAGGATCAGTAAACTCTAGTATATGGCAATGTTTTCAGCACTAATGTCCTGGAAAAGAACCGTCATTTCAATTTGCCATCGAAATCTGGCCTTGTCTTGATTTACATCAAAAGAGTTAAAGATTATACACTGTAAGACAAATAGCAGCATAGTTGGAGCCCTTTAAATATGTAAAGTAATATACCTCAGGAAAACCTACAGTTTGGCAGTTAAGCCAACTGCCAAGATATCTTAACTTACTGAACTAACAAGAAAGAATACCAACCTAAAAAGAGAACTAGGTGTTCAGTAATGAAGCTGATCTTGGAGCTTTTCTGTTAATTCACCCCAAAGTAAAAAGAATTTATATTTACTAAAATTCACAAGTTCTTCCAGAGAAAGGCCCTTGCATTGCACTCCAGTTGGGTTGACCTTTGCAATCACCCCAAATATGGGCAACTTGGGTGTGCTATTTCTAGGTGTGGGGTCAGCATTTGTGCTCATCGCAATAAACAAGCCCAAAACAGATTTTTTTCTTTTTTTAAATTGTAAAAGATTTCTAACCCATGTCAAAAATTTAATACAAAAACAAACTTGGATATAAATTTAAAATTTTTGGGGGTGAATTAATATTTGTGATAAGTAACTTTATATTATTTGGGGTGAATTAGTGCGTGTAGAAGGTGGAGTCTGCATTAGATAGACAGATCATCTTTCACTGGTGTTTGAAAGCAGAGGACAAAACAAAAGCGACTAACATTACAGGCAAACTTGTTATTAATGAGTGTCCCAAAATTATATTTGAATATGAGAGTCCAGATATTGGTAATTATTAAATTATGTAAATGTTAGAATGCGCATAGTAAAGATAATTATAATATTCTATTAGCTTCCCAGTTATGAAAATAGGGACTGAGAATACAAAAGTACTTACGCTTAACAATGACAATGGCATCAGGAAGGGCAAAAATACTGCCTTTGTTATTCATAGCTTCACATGTGTAAGCACCAGCATCTTCAAGCCTTGCATTGGAAATGGTAAGCATTCCTTGGCCTTCTTTGCTTGTTGTCACAACTCTATCACCTGATGGTATGTTACCCCAATTGAGACGCCAGATAATCAGAGGAACTGGAATACCAATTGCCTTGCAGAAAATGGTGAAAGTACCACCAATTTCAACTTCAATGTCTTTGATAGGTGGTGAGATAATGGTTGGCGGTCCTAAATAAAAAAAAAAAAAAAAAGGAAAAATGAAAAGATTGAAAAGGAAATCATGCTGCAAATTACTACTGATAATTCATAAAGGTATTTGTATATTTCAAGAAAAATGCTGCACAAAAGTTTTTATTTTTACTGTATCAAAGAGAACAACTGCTTTTTAAAACCTGTTTCTTAGTTGATGATTGATAATGTCATAGAATGAAAACTAATATAAAAATACATTCAACTTTGTTAATAATTATTGTTACAGAATAATATATGTAGAATATTAATCTTTATTGGCAAATTTTCTGATTTCTTATGAAATTAATATGAAAACTTCATGAGTTTACAAACAACCATGGGTTTATTTTCCCTGTCTAGGTGATATATTAACAGAATTATAAATATTTTCTTATGGCAAAATATTTCTGAAAGAAACAGAAATTTATAATTTAGAATCAATTGAATTCAGGTTAAGATTACAGGTAATTGATTGCTTCACCATTTCCAAAAATCAACATGACACAATGGAATAACTATGATGATTATATGATGATTTATTTGAATTAGGGTCCTCAACTTTTTTAGTAGAAACTATTTTACAATTAAAAATTTTGACACTATGAAGAAGTAGTTTTGCAAAAAGAATGTATTAAATAGGAACAACTCAGTACACTGTTTAAAGTTCTAGAGTAAACTATTTCTGTTTCAAAAGCATCCTTCTGTAACAAGAAAAAGCATTAGGTCACATTTTATACAATCTTATACAATACAAACAATGAATTTTTAAATCACCTTCTTCAATATTCAAGTGCATGTATGCCTCTATTTGTTTCTATCTCTGAAAGTTTTTAACTTTCAGAGATAGAAATAAACCTTTCTGTCAATTCAATTTTTGAACATTGTGCTAATTCAGAAAGACAATTGCTACACTATAGATGGCATTACTGTAGCTGTTTAGCAGTACACTGAAAACTCAGTGCAGTTGTTACTGGGTTTCTGTTATTTGTGTCTTTCACAAATACATGTTGCAGAAATGTATCATTTTTTTACAAATGAGGTCACCATTATTTAAGAAATTCTTCTTTGTTTAAATATCTGCTACTTAGGTACTGTTAGATTTTTATGACTGTAAAATATTATGCTGTATTTTCTATGAAATTTTCCTTACCTACTTGGTAAGCTCTAGTTTCCTTTCTGTGTCTGTTATCAACATCAGGATATCTTATGTTGTTGAGATTGTGGGCCCCAATAATGAATCTTGGTAAATGGTAAAACTTCTAATTCTCTCAAAATTGCCTCACTGTATAGGTTGAATAGGTCTAGTGAGATGACACATCCTTATCTAACACCTTTTTTTATTTTTGCATATTTACTGAACTCATTTTCTCTATGTATGTAGGCAGTTTTCTGTTAGTATAGGTTCTGGATTATTCTAACATCCTTCCCAAATATGCCAACAATGTGTTAGAAACAAATAAATCAGCCTGTTTTATTGGTAAGGGACACTAGTTAAGAAATGTACAAATTTATACAAAAATATTTTTTGATATCAACCAAATGAGTTAACATAACTCTTGTGTAAGGAAATATTTTTTTTCAAGTTGTCCTTAAATAACATCAGTATCAGGTATGACGTTAGTACCTTAACATTATAAATAACTTTATTATTATATACTTTTAGATATTTGAACTTACAAAGAAGCCCTAGGAATATATGTGGTTTGTAAGCTGGGAGCTCCTGTCATAAGAGTTTAATTTTTAAAAAAATGTTACTTACTGCATCCCATCTCATCGGACCGATCCAAACAATCATTCTCTCCATCACATTGATAACTTGATGGAATACATTGATGTCTTGCAATACATCTAAACTCATCCATCTGACACATAGAACCAGGTGGACCAGTTGCTGTTAAAGGAAACAATACAAAAATGTTAAATACAAAGCAAAATTTAAGTTTTACTAAGTAAAA